CTTCTTTTGGCCCATCAAATTCATTCTTGAGAGAATCCGATGTTGTTGAAACCTGCAAGAAACCGACAAAATGTTGTAGTGAATCAAAGTTGAACTATGAACCTATTTATTTTTTATTTACAAGTGTTGCTTGAATATTGGAGGTTCATTGATTTTTTGTGTAAGATCACTTTAGGAGTGTAGATTGTGACAAGTGTCCCATTTATTGAATTAAAATTTATATATTAAGAATATTTATATCTTGTAATATTTTATTCTACTATAGTATAATATTTATTCTTCTATGGGAAATTGTTGTTATGCGGGTGAGGTATACTAGAGATATTAATATTAAATAATACATTTCACAAACAACTTATGATTTTGGTTGAGATGGTCATTCAATATGGTACCAGAGGCAGGCCAAATAAAAGGTCCCGGGTTTGAATCCCACCGCCACCCATTTCAAATATTCCAAGTGTAGGGCTTCAAATGTTAATCGTCTGCACTTGAGAGTGCATATATGAGATATTAATTTAAACGATACATTTCACTAACAACTTATGCTTTTGGTTGAGGTGATCATTCAACAAGGTAGATCTGTAATAGTGATAGCTTTGATGGTAGTATGAAAGTGGCCGACAATTTTCACATCAATTTCAAAGATCGAGTATGGGGCCCACAACTTGGGCGACTTCAGCGATTTTCACAGACGTATACGGTTACTACTATTTTTGTTCTCTACAAAAGTCGTTGTGCAAGTAGGTAACAAAAACTTGCTAAACACCATTGGACACTGATACCCTAACAAATTATGACAATCATACTTTCATATTTTACTAAAAGTCCCTCGGCGGCTTAGTTACAGAGCTTAGACTGAAAATAGTCATATTAGTTTGAAAATATTTTATTCTCCTCCAACTTATGTACCCTCAAAACCACATTCACTCCAAAAATGTACATTACCCATTAGGAAATGTACATTACTTTACCTTTCAAGGACCCACTTGCCAATTGAACACACACTCTCTCTCTCCTTTTCATATCTCAAATTAGGCCACCAACATCTCCACCACACAAAGACTACATTTTTCTATCAAGTTCAAATCATGGAATCACCTCCAACCCACGTAAAGATGAAATTGCAAATAAATCCCTCTAGATACTTTGTAAGCTTGCATAAATTGCAAGAAGGCCACTCCACCATTCTTAATCATTAAGCTTGCAAGACCCCACAACTCTACAAATAGAACACAAGTCTTCATGTATTTTCTCATCTTCTCAACAAACATCCTAAATATCAAAGATCAAATCAAAGTCTCTTTCTCTTCTTCTTCCATTTTTTAAATTAGTAGTATAGGAAAGCCCCAAAATCTCTCTTTAAAGAGTAAAATTCTTGGCCAAAGGTGTAAGTTTCTTCCTCTTCTGTCTTTTCTTCATTTTCGAAAATTTCAAGAAGCTAAGCTTCTTCTTCCTCTCTCTCTAAAATTTCTTCTTCTTCTCCTTGTAGAATGGAAAGAACACCCTTCCAGACTTTCTAAGAAGACCAAGTTGAGAATTTTCGAATGCTTACTACAAGAGTGCTTCAACACCGATAGTATTTTTCTTCTCTTTAATTTCTTATTGATGTTCTTGTGATAACCGAAAACTAAAGGGGGGAGAAACTGAAATTTGGTTTTGAATTTATGCTTTGATCATCCATGCATGTAATAATGTAAGCTTTAAATGAAGTAATCCTGAAAACACTAAGAATAAAATGATGATTTAATTGTTATGTATGTATATACTAGACCTACGTGATCTTAAGGAAACTTCGATCAATAGTTTTCGTAAATCTACGTGGTCGAAGAAAGTACTTGGTCCATGGTTTATTTATAAACTTTATGTGCTATGTATATATAAATATGTTTATATGTGTTTATATATCGACCTACGTGGTTGTAAGTGTACTCTCTTTGGGTCGAGGAAGCTTACGTTTCATGGTTTATGATCTTTGAGTAATAAGATAATATATGAGGCTAAAAATCGAGAATAAGATCAATAAAAGTGGAATTCCATGTGATTAAAGATTGTTGAGAAATGTTTAAATTTCTAATAAGAGTAACTTCTTGATGATGCATGTAGTAAGAGCAAGAATGAGTATTAAAAACTCTAAATCTTATCTTGCATGTGAAGATCTAGAAAGAAAATGATGTGCTACTTTGAAAGAAAACTTCAAGTCTCTTGAGAAAGAGGGTTGGAACATTAATCATTGAAACTTGGAGGTAGTAATTATACATAACCGAATGCTTTGAGCTACTTTTTTTATATGTGTAAAATACATGATCTTGCTCTTTGCTTGAGTTGTTATGGCTCTTACTTGATTTTGTGATTTTGTGACTAAACTATGTGCTTTTGTGAAATATGTAGAAATATGTGTACTAATATGCTTATGTGTAAGCTAACTTTGAATATGTAAAATTAAAAGTATATACTAACCTCACTTGCATGTTTTTAAAGCTGAAAAATCTTGTAAAACATAGATCGAATAAGCACGGGGTATGAGAGATCAGTATCCCAAAAATGAGATGAAGAGTGTGTGGTTTGATTCCACTAATGAAACGGGCTCCAAATAAATGAAGGCTTATTGTCTAATGTTTTGCTTGATTTTTCAAAGGATATCCGAACAAAAATATTTTTTCTCACACACCTAGTGGACTTACTTGAAATGGGTGTTTAATAAAAGAATGACTCCCTTGTAAGGGATCTACTCTTATTCCTTATGAAATGATGAAAAAAAGGTCTAAAAGCTAAAACGAGAAGGTCTGAGAGGTAAACCGATGAGGTAAAGGTAAATTGGTAAAGTTTCTTAATGAAATAACGATTGAGATACAATCGAATTGTTTGTATTGTGTATATGTGTGATTTGAGATGGTATACATATATACAGATATAGCATAAATATATGTTTGTTTGCCTATGTGTATTCGATACTTCTTTGGAAATTCTCATTGAGTTCAAAAGACTCATATAGGTGTTGAAATGCTTGCAGGTACTTTCAATCTAGAGCACGAGTCGTAAAGTTGGAGTCGAGTTCGAGGATCTAGGGGGAATGTTCATATAGAATGCGTATGGATCTTGTGTCCTCTTAATCTAGCCATGTGGTTCCACTTATATAGTTTAATTTTAAAGACTTTCGATACCGTCTTAGGTATCTATTATCGTACTCTTTCACCCCTTGAGGACTCTTATTAGTAAGAACATTACATTTAATAATAATTAGGATTATGATTACCTCCTTTTTGTTAAGGGTAAATGTAATCCATAAGTACTTAAGTAGCTCCATGGGCACCTTTTGCCAAAACTTCTATATAATGCTCATCTGTTTGTTATATGTTGTGTTCTGCCATGTTCTTTGATAGTACGTATTAAATATACCTTATGTTTAGAATTGCATTTTATATTTATGTTGGCATTTTTTTTCTCGATCCTGTATTGTTGAATAGTATTTATTTTTTCCTGAATTTGACATTCGTGCATCATACGTGTACGATATTAGTTACACTAATTCTTTTACTCCGTATCAGAAACTAACTCAATAAATCAGTTGACAAAGTTGTAGGGAACACACTGATAATCAAGTTCCGAAATCGAAATTAATCATACAGAGAAACCATCACTCACGTCTTGTTATCACCATCAACACTTGGGGCATCAGTGTCACGGGGTATTCTTCCTCGATAATTAGTTTTCGTAGAAGTTGAAGCAATCATACTTCAATAACAAAGAACATACAATGGAGGATGAGATTGTTGGAAATGAATAAGCTAATTGTGTGCTTGTATGTTGATGATTTAATATTTACAGGGAACAATGTGAAATTGTTTGATGAGTTCAAAAAGGAGATGGCCAAGGAGTTCGAGATGACAGACATTGGGTTGATGTCTTATTATCTTGGCATTGAAGTGAAGCAACAAGATGATGTCATTTTCATCTCACAAGAAGGCTATGCAAAAGATGTGCTAAAGAAATTCAAAATGGACAAATGCAAGGAAATCAGCACTCCAATTGACATTGGAGACAAATTGTTGAAGCACGTTGAAGGAGAGCCCGTTGATCCAACCTTATTCAAAAGCTTGAATGGAAGTTTGAGGTATCTTACATGCACATGACCCGATATTCTATTTGAAGTTAGTCTTGTTAGCCGATACATGGAAGATCCAAAGGAGTACAATTTCAAAGTAGCAAAGATGATACTCCGCTACATCAAAGAACTACTAATTTGGGTATGTTCTACCCAACAAATGGAGATTTGAAGCTAGCCGGATGTAGCGACAGCGATTGGGCCGGAGATCCAGATGATCGAAAGAGTACATGTGGTTTTGTATTCTACTTTGGAGATTCAGCATTCACTTGGGTATCGAAGAAGCAACCGATAGTTACTCTATCAACTTGTGAAGCTGAATATGTGGCAGTGGCATCGAGTGTATGTCATGCAATATGTCTAAGGAACTTACTAAAGGAGCTCAATTTTGTTCAAGAAGATTCGACACAAGTTTTTGTCGATAACAAATCAGCGATTGCACTAGCGAAAAATCCAGTGTTTCATGATCGAAGCAAACACATTGATACTCGATATCATTTCATCCGAGAGTGCATTGCAAAAAAAGAAGTTCAAGTGAAGTTCGTGAAGTCCGGAGATCAAATTGCCGATATCTTCCCGAAACCCCTCAAGAGAGAATCGTTCGAGAAGTTGATGAGTCAACTTGAAATGCGTGAATCAAGCTTAGGGGGCGTGTTGGAAATGAATAAGCTAGATTCATTAATCAAGTTCAAAGTATTGAAGGTTCTAGAATTCATGAATGTGGAAGAATACATGAATATGTCTTTTGGTGAGATTCATGTATAATGATATGGAGGAAGAATATTATTAATTATGTGTTCATGTATTTGTTTAGATACATGCTAGGAAAATCCTATAAATAGTCTATGTAGTTTTTCATTTGGAGTAAGTCAAAAAACAAGAAGTATTCTAGAGAGAATCAAAAGAGAGTTCTTGAGTGAGTTTATATATTCGTGTTGATTGAGTGAGTAATATAATTTTATATCCTCTCCACTACTCCTCCTCTCTATTTTAAGTTATTCCGCTGCGTGTTTTCACTCTATATTGTTAAATCGATCCAATAGAGATCGCCTGTTAAATAATGCGAGATGAATCATTGGTCGAGATTTCAATGGTTTGTGTAGCTTCTGTCAACAATAACAAGTGGTCGAAGTTCGCAATTGTTAAATCTGCAAGTGAAAATTTTGCAAATGTTAATTCGTTCACATCTCTATGTGAATTCATATTCATCACCAGAAAAGCTTTGTAAGTTGTAAATAAATAAGAAAACAAACTTACGGTTTGCACATTTCGTTCTTCACGCAAGGATGACAATCATCTCCAAATGCAGCAAGTGTGTGCATTAATAATGCACTATGAGTAACAACTGCTATCTCTCTCTCCTCCCTAGTCCACAACCTGCACTTCATACAAAATATAAGCATACATCATATAAAATATGATTAACCTAAAATTAATAGCGGTAACTAATTAGTTGAGAGGATAAAAAAAAGTTCACACCATTTCAAAAAGTTCAAACCCCTCTTGGCAAGATCTTCGTCCGTCTCTCTCACGTCAAGTTCCCAGAGAGTGTCAGCATCACTTTCTATCTGAATACAAGATCTTGTTAATCCATAGACACAGATTTTAGTTTATTTTCTTGTTCAATAAAAAAATTGGTTTTCTCTATGTATGAAGAAGAAACTTAAAAGAACATTTTACTCGCCAGTGAAAAATCGATTGCAGGAAAAAGTGTCATGTACTCGCTTATGCTCCTTCTCTTATCACACCAATTAACTCCCTGCAAATACTCAATATGGGAAGGCAAAACTAGTGCATCGGAATTCTAAAAGCGAGAACATAAACACGATTGACGATTTATTAAATTGACCGAGAATGAGTATGAACATTATCAATAGATAAAAATAATGAGGAAAAGTGAAACTCAAATGAATGCAGTATTTAGATTTAATCATCTCATACCAAACGTTCTCGACAAAGTTCCATTGCGACAAAAGGAGGAGAATTTAAACTTGAAATAGGTGGGCGGTTAGTGTTTTCAGCCATTAACGGAGGTACATCAATAATTCCATCCACATAACCTTCTCCACCGAACACCCCAACAGCTGTTTGCATTGTCCTGCAATAATTCATTTTGCACTGTTTGAACTTTCGATCTTCAAACTTTAAATGTTGTGCGCGAAAATTACATCTTGCAGGTCCTTTATAGATGACTTAAGGAAATAAAGAATAAACATAGTTTCAGTTCGAAAGTTGAGTATAGTTACCTTAACAAAGGGGAAACAACAACTAGTTCAATACTTGTCGAAAGACCTAACGAATGAACATGCTTACGAAGATTATCCACCTGTTAACAATATGAAGTTGTCATTCATTTTTCTTTCTCTAACCACAAGAAAAGGTAAACTAAATCCAACGCATAAATTTCTTCTTAATTATATATATGGTTACAAAGCTTAGAAAAGAATTGAGAAATAATAAAAAACATAATTAAGAAATAATAAAAAAATAATAATGACCTGGTCCCAGCCGAGAGGGGTAATTTGTGAGTCGAAAAAATCTGGAGATCTGTGGTCCTTTACTCCAGCCACATTGTGGAATCCCTGAGCATGTCTCACCTACATATTACATTATCTTTTTTTTTTTATTAATTTATTTATGTTTATTAAAATTTAATGTGAGAAAGAGGAATTGGGAAAAACATCAACCAAGTGAATTGTTTTGCAGCGGTGCATAGGGTACAAGCCTACGCCTTGTGCAGGATCCATATATATCTGCAACAATTACGTACTGAAAAAGGATAACCAAAAAAATGTAAATAAATAAATAAGAGAACACCAACATCATTTCAGAAGCTAAATTTGTGCAGAATCAATTCCTTTTTCTATAAACTTAAAATTAGAAATTCAGACTCTTTCTCTTGTGAACAATCATATTCATATATATATAAAAATTAAAAAAGATATTAAAAGGAAAATTGGACGCCCTCCATGAAATTATAATATAATTAACCATCTAAGATTACTTATCCCCATACGTAAGGTAGGTATATTTACATGGAAATCAAATCAGCATTTAAAAAAACACACAACCAAACAGCGATACTGAAATAGAGACGACCATGCATAAAAACATCACAATTCACATATATATATATATATATATATATATATATATAGAGAGAGAGAGAGAGAGAGAGAGAGAGAGAGAGAGAGAGGGGGGATGTTACCGACCTGTGAGAGATGGTTTCTGAAAGAATTAATTATGGGAAACGCAAAGGAAGTGTTTTCTGTTATTAGTGTTAGATGAAGTAATAATAGAAAATTTGGTTTTGGCAATCTCAGAAGTCAAAAAACTGAAAACTGGAAGAAAGAGGAAATATAAAAACTAATAATATTAATTGGTGGGAACCATTTATGTTGAAGCCAAAATCATCAAACCATTCTTTCATTAATGGCCTTTGTCTTATTCTTTTTTGAGGGAAACTATCCAATCCATCCATATGCATTTATTTGCCTTACTTTTTTGGTATATATTATATAATGTTCTTGTATAAATACAAAACATAAGTAACTCCAATAATACATGCATTTGTACCTAGCATAAAATAATAATTATATATATGATACAATATTATTATTAATAGACAACAAGTATTACATCCTGCACGTGAAATCCAATCAAATCCAATAGCTTAAGTAGATCCATGAATTGTGGGTGGACTAAAAACAAATCGGTAACCCGTTTTCATATATTTGAATTTGTACCAGGCCACTGTACATATATATATTTGTATTCACCGACACTGCATAACAAACTTATCACCTATACAGCGAATAACTTTGATCGATACTATTGTAATGGTAGGATCTAAAATCTTCTTCGACTTTATTATGCGACATCCGATCAATGTTGCAATGCTCTCAAACGAAGTGGCCATGCTGATTCATGCCGCATAATGGTTATTATTCCCCCCATGTAGTTAGGGAGCGATTAGGCAAGGGCAGACTCAACCCCACCCTCGATTGAAAAATTATCCATAATATTATCCATGTACCACTCAATTTTCTTTTTTTCTTTTCATATTTTGTGGTTTTGTCAAAAAAAAAGTCGTAATATTTTTTCAGCCGAATCTCCGAAAATTTAAGCTCACCCTGTAACGAATTCCTGGACTACCATATATCATCTCCTCAAATGCTAACAACTTGAAACAATGAGAGAAAAAGGCTACTGTTAATACAATTAGAAAAAAAAAAAAAGGCTAGCAAGCATCAAGCAGAAACAATAAAAGATTTTATTCGTTTTACTATTTCAAAGAATAAAAGAAGCTAGTTTCTGTAAAATTTCTGATCTGTTACGATAAAATATGAATAATAATAATAAAGGGGGCTACAACAATATGAACAGGCAACTTTGGTTACCTCATTATATTTGAGGCTATTCCTATAGTAGAGTATGCTGCAGTTGTAAACAAGTGAAATTCATACATACCCACAAAAGTAAATCCCCAAAGTTATAGGGATGGATGAAAAATCCTCTCTCAACAGTTGAAGGTACTGGTAACTCTAAACCTGACCTCTTCCCAACAAAATATTTTAACTATACCACAAAAACTCAACTTCGATTCTGCAAAATAAAATAAAATAAAAACCTAAAAAAGAAATTAAAATAGTAACTGCTCCTCCTGATGATTGCTCCCTCTCTTTCCGAGGGGGGCTGATGCTGCCCTACAAGCTCTCTACATAAAAGTGGCAACATGCTCCAATGTTTTGGTCTCAACTCAATAATCGTCTCTTCCAAAGAACGTACTTCTGCCCATTTTTATCATTAGATTAATTTTCAATTGGCAGGATAAAATCTCAGAACGAACAAGTGTTAATTTTCAAGTCTCCTCATCTAAGAATTATACACGAATATGTATAACAAAGGTTTTATCGTACTTATCAGTGATTGCTCAAGACATCTACCTTTCTAAGCTCTTTCACGCAGAGTTCAAACCACTCCAAAAAAAAGTATAAAACAGAAAAAAAAAAAAAAAAAAAACATACCTCACAGATCCAACGTGATACTAAGCAATCTGATTAGATCAAAATACATCACTTTGCAGGGATAACAACATCGAGATTCTTTTGAAGCAACCAGCCTGTGGGATATATAAGTTCAGAAGCTTCTAGATGGAGGTGCCAGTTCATTATCCTATAACAACTTTGAGGAATGCCTTCCATTTGGCTCTCATCTTCCACAATCTGCTCTATGAAAGTTGTCTCCTGAAAAACGAATAAATGTCCAGATAGGATTAAATAATAATTTAAGCTCAGTAAAAAAATATCTACACATTTATTGCAGAAAATATGCATGACATAAGTGCATACTTGGAATCCTTCCTTCACTGTGTCCAATTGACGAATTGGTTCTGAAGTTGGACGGTGCCATCTCTTTGGGTCCCACAGTATGGTGCTATTAAAGGCAAAGCCAGACATGTCAACGTGGAATCGACGAAGCCTTTTACTCTTCTCATTTGTGTGCCATCCTACTACTCTGCTTCCGTTGCATACAGGGCCTTCCAATGTCGCTTTATTTTTGCTTTGAGCAAGCATGGCTACAGGCCAAGTGCCAAAACGACTGAATACAAAAACGACAATAATGAAATCAGAAGTCATAATGTCAAGGCAGACTCAAGCTAGAAAATATATTGAGAGAGCTATTTAATAATGTAATGAGATTAAGTAATCGGTCAAGAGTCCGCCAAGAGATTGATATAGTGCAATCTTAAATTCATACGTCATCGGTAAAAAAGAAAGCATATAGTTCATCGCAATCAATGGGAAGGACTCAATCCTGTTATGTTCTTATATAAACAAATAATCCCGCTAGAGAAGTCGTTCAAAAGTTCTGATTTCCTAAATCATATGTTATAGGTTGATGCTAAATTTGTATATATAAATTGACTGAAAGACGGGTACTCATAAACTAAAATATCCCAATTATGTTTGCATCGCATGTCCGCAGCGGAGATGGCAACTAAAAAAGAAGCCAAACACACATGACTGAGAGTGTGTTTAAGCCATGAGACATCATAGAAGAGCATAATATTGTAACTTGAGTTGGATCATCCATCAATTATGTTTATATGAGAACAAAATTACATCCTATAAATTTGTAGAAAAGCATATAATTTTGTTTTCATGTAAATACAGAAAGACGATGACATAGATAACTAGTTGGGAACTAGTGATTTAGAAGCATAAAAATCTTACAACGAGCTAAGATCAGTAAATGGTACTAGTGGAAAAGTTTTGACCTCAAGTAATGAGCACTCTCTATCTCGTAAACTACAAGTCTACAAGTAATGCAAATTGCAAAGAAGACAGATAAACTGCACTAATAATTTTTACAGCTATAAAGTATATTTCCCAATACATTAGTTTCTAAAAGCGCGACTATCAAGTCCAGATTTAACATGTTGTAAGCACTCTCGATATTGCAAGCTATCTGGAAAAGATGCATCTCAAGGTGTCTTATTCCATTAGAAATGTATATTCACAAATACCGAGTCTGGTTACTTGTACAATCTGCACGAATTCTTTTGGAAATATGCTTTAATGTCTCTCTACATAAAAAGATAACTGGGGACTTGAGTGAAAAACATAATAAGATTGAGCTCTGTCTTTCCCCTCCTCCCAACAAACACCACCAAAAAACTTTTAACGGTTTAGGGAACAAACTCTTTTACTAAATCATTACAGATCAAAAAATGACCCGGAAGATTGAAGTATATGTTAAACAGCTTCAAGTTCATTAAAAAGAATAGACAATGAACAGCTTTACAAAGGATAGCTGAATGGAAAATCTTATCAGCCTTTTTAGCAATTTCAAGAAATGTAATTGTGAAAAATCATTCTTAGAAATAAAACTTTTGCCACATTCCAAAATCCTGAGATTCATAAAAAAATCAAAAGAAAAATGAATTTGAATGCGAATGTCTAGTTATTTGTTCTGAAATCAGAATTAGTCAGGTTCTTTTTCGTAAAATTGTTGACTAGATTCTTCAATGTTAAAACAGCAACTCCACCACAAAGGCACAAACAAAAGGCATACAGAAATAAAGGGAACATGGCACAGAGTGGTCATTCAGTTCTATTTAAATCAGTTTTGCAAGGATGGTCCATGCTTCAGCAAATCCAAAAACAACATACTGGAATTACAGGACAGTAACTCATACCGTGTTGTATTAGGTCAAATCTCCAAAACTAAGATCTGTCGAGACTTGACTCTTTGGAACAGCAACGCAGGGATTTAGAAACCAACAGATTGACATAAGGATTAGTTCTCTACATAGACCTACTCTCTCCCTCGAAGCACACAGAAGCAATGATAACAATAGTAATTCACCTCAAACTTTATATACAGTTCCCATAAGTAAAGCAAATATTGACATGACAGATCAACTGTAAGTAGAAGGTCAAGTTTTAACTGGAGAATTCACGTGGCAAAGAACAGTTACTACATCACCTCAGTGCATAATAAAGGCTTAGAAGGTCAAATAAAGATAAAGATAGCCCATCCTGTTAAACATCCACATAATTATCTGAAACAAAAATCTCCAAAAGCTAAACACTTGCACTCACCCTCCTCGATTTATGTTATGCGTCTAAAATACAGCCCAGTGACATGAAAATATTACATGATATTACTTTGAATCACATAAATGCAATAAAACAAACATTTTCACGCAACACTACTATATAAAGTCATTTTAAGCAAGCAAATTGAGATAGTAGATGATACTCCATGAAACAACTGATTCATGAAAAACCAACCTGATTTCTCTTAAACTCTCGAATAGCTCCAGCGAGTAGATATTATCATCATCTGCAAAATACACAATGCCATCAAGTTTATGCCTCTCAATATGCTCGATTGCAGTATTCCTCTGGTGCACTCCCCTGTCTTTTGCACTTGTGGAATTTTTCTTACACACAAGATGTCTGTACATAATACCCATATTCCTCAAGATATCCGCAGTCTCCATTGTCGCAGTGTTCGTCTCCACCACAATCCACAATAGCGGCGGTCTGACCAGTCTCAAAACCTGCCCTAACCTATTCAAATAGTACGCCTGCATAGCCCTGTTGTAAGTTGGTGTCACCAAAATCAATTGCTTAAGAGGGGGCACAAAATCCAAATTCAACTTAATTTCATTTCTGCCACTGCTCTCAACAACACCCAGTTCAACAGAATCCACCACAATATTATTATTATTATTATTATTATTATTAGTATTATCCTTGGGTATCTCTACAAAACCTAAATCCCCTTCATTCTTCTCAGCATTCACCACCCCTGACTTCCTTTCGAACGAGAAATCTCTGTTTCTCAAATCTTCGCGCTTCAATTCGTTAATGTCATTATTAAATGGCGCCATGCCAAGCAAAAACCCAAGGAAAAAGAACAGAAAGCATCGGAGAAGCGATTTTTTCCAGGAAAACTGATTGCTTTTTCGAGAGTAATGCTTCTGGAGGAAAATTCCAGTTATAAATCTGTGGATTGGGGAGAAAGTTGTTCTGCCATGGGAAAGCAGCTTCTGCGATGGCGATTGCGCTGCAAATGGATTGTTGGATCCGTTCTGGTACGATCGATCGTTGAAGGGCGACAGAGTTCTCCGAATCGAAGCCATTTATACAGTAGAAATTGCATCCAAACAAAAGGTCAAAATTAAAAAAAAAAAAAAAAACAGGAATTTGTGGTGGGGTGAGAAAAGGGATGGGTATCAAATCCAAGTTGAGGACGGAAAACAAATTTGCAATTGAAATAGAAACCCTAAAGATGGATATGGAAAGGAGAATTAGAGGAAAAATTACCCAATTTGTTGAATTTGGGTTTTGGGGAGAGAAATTGATTTTCAGGGGGAAATAACAAATAAATTCCGGGTGGAGAAGATGGGGAGTGCCAACCCTGGTTCCAGAAATGCACCTGGGGAGGTTAAGCATAGCTAAACTTCGCTGTCAACCGCCCAGTTACTCACTGCCACGTGTGATGTCCCGACCAATTAACCTAATCCAAAGGGGTCATATATGCCAATGCCTTTTCTTTTTCAACTTATTTCTCTAAATTTCCTATATTCCTAACAATACACTCTAAATTTCATAGTGGGACGGAATTAGAGCAACTTCAATGCTAAATACCAAAATTGAATTATCAAATATTTATTTGATATTTGAGATACTATTTTAGTATTGATTAAAATTCATCTACTTCAACCATGGTTATCAAATTAGTTATCATTGGATGTTTATGGGTGATTTTATTTGTAGGGATTATTTCACAAAACCCCCTCATCACAAAAGTCCAATTACAATGAACCCAAATTTATTTCTTATTTTTAAGATAAATCCAAAACACCTTTTATTAATAAAAATTAATTAATTATCACAATTATACCCCTTACCTTATTTATAATGTATTAGGGTTGAATATAAATAAATGTAATATTTGTTCCATTAATATCACGTTTTCAATCTCACTCACAAATCTCGCCCATAAATCTCGCCCTTAACATAACGTTTTTTTCTCTCCCGATTTTCTTTTCCTTTTCTTTTCTTTTCTATTCACCGTTGCAGATCTCCTTCCGTACACCTCTTCTTCTCTCCCCACCGGCGCTGCCCCAACTCCCATCCGGCGAAGCCCCAGCGCTGCCCAGCCGCCCCGCGCCGCCCCACCCCCCGCCCCAGCGCTGCCCAGCTCCGCCCCACCCCCCGCCCCAGCGCCGCCCAGCACCGCCCCACCCCCTGCCCCAGCGCCCCCCAGCACCCCCCCACCCCCCGCCCTAGCGCCGCCCACCCCCGCCCAAGCACTCGCCCGACGCCGCCACAGTCCCCGCTCCGCGCCGCCTCAACCCCCGCCCGGTGCCGCTCCAACGCCCACCCCTATTTCCTCTCTCTTCACCGTCGCCGAACGATATCTATGGTCGGTAGAAAAAGGTAATTATTTTTTTTCGCTTCACTCATCTTTCAGTGGTTTTAGGGTTTGTAGGGAAGGTTCCTATTTGATAACGATATTTGTGAAAAAGACTATTAATTCTTATAAATTAATTTTTTTTTCTTGATCAGATTGATACAGTGACCCTCGTCGGCCTTGTTGGTGGTGGTGTACTGATCTTGCACTTTTTCCTGGATATAGTAGTGACTTACATTTTAAATAGCGGATTTTTGAATAGTGAATTTATGTTTTTTTTAGTTGTGTTAGTAGAGTGGATTGATGTATGTTTTTAGTGGATTTCAATAACTTTGTTGTTGATTATGTTATTATTAAAGTGGATTACGTTAACTTTTTGTAATTGGTCTTGCACTTTTTTCTTGGGCATAGTAGTGGCGTTTCTAATAGTGGTTTACGTTTCAAATAACGGGAAGAAGATGATTACACGGACTATGCTCTAGGGTTGATTGGAGAGAAGATGGTGTCTTTTATAGTGGGTTTATAGCTTCTTTTTTCGCATAATTTTAATGTTTTCTTGTTAGAATTCATAGTGGTTTTCGATGTTTATATAATTATTTATACATAGTGGTTTTCATGTTTATATAGTTGTTTTATGCATAGTGGTTTTCATGTTTATATAGATGTTTTCATAGAGTGGTTTTCAAAGTTATAGCGGATTTCGAAGTTTATAGTGGATTCCACTTTGATAAATTTGCTGGATGTTTTTTTAAATATTAAAATAATAAAAACTAATCGAATTAAAAAATAATAATAAAAAAATAATTAAACAAAATATTTTTTATTCAAGAAAAATGGGAAAAAAAATAAAAAAAAAATCATTTAAAAAAAAAAACCGGAATTAAGGAAAAAAACTATTAAAACTGAAAATAAAAATAAAACTATTTAAAAAAAATCAAACTGGAAAACATGAAATATAAATAAGAAAAAATAATATATTAAAAAAACCAAAATAAAAAAAATATAAAATAAAAGAAAACCATTAAAAAGAAAAGAAAAGAAAAGAAAAAAATAGAATTTGAAATGCCGTAATATGGGAGATATTAAGGGAATTGGCATATTTTAAAAAAATAATTAATTTTCCTTAATAATAAATGGGGGTATTTTGGATAATTCATGTCCATTGGATTTATAACAAATATCAATTAATAAAAATGGATTTATCATTAAGTCAAAATTGAATGAGGGGTGTTTGTCATATAGCCCCTTATTTGTAATTATCACATGTCACTTATGATTGGATGTCTAAATGGTTACACTTTTGATAACTCACCAACAAGTATTTTTGCATCCAAAAAGTTGAATTATCAAAATAGAACATTAATTTGATAACCCCATTGGGACTTAAAAATTTCTATTTTTGTGTGTCTAAATAGTGGCTCGTGGTTTGAATCTCATGTTTGATAACTCCATTGGAGTTGCTCTTAATATCATATTTTTTCTCAATTCAATACCATCAAATTTAATACTATGTTTTACATAATTTTTTTACATTTTTTTCTTAGATTGATGCCACAAATAATTTTTTTATTAACAAAGTACTAAAATACCCCTCGTCAAACAAAATACAATTTATACAAGTAATTTTTTTTTTACTCATTTCAATACCAAAGATAAAAAACTTTCTTCTTCTCCCCCAAACTCAAACTCATTAAACCCTCTCTTCTTCATCTTCTTAATAACCCTCCAAAAAATCTCAAATTCAAAAAAATCAAAATCTCACAAAACATATAAAATGGAGTCACAAGACAACAAAATGGTAGTTTACACTTTACATGATAGGAGAACCCATTAAAGTATGTATTAATGTAATTTTTTATGTTTAAAAGTCTATTTGAAGTTTTTTTTAAACCCCGTCGACAGTTTTCGACACATACATGTCGATTATTGTCAATTTTCGACACCACCATGTCGAAAAATATTAAAAGAAAGAAAAACAAATTTTGACAAGTATGTGTCGAAAAATCACTGCCTTAAAAAAAAAAGCAACAATGATTTTTCGACACATACATGTCGAAATTTGGGGGGGGGGGGGGGGTTTCTTTTTTTGTTTTCGACAAGTTGGTATCGAAAATTGACAAAAAAATCAACCTGTATATATCTAAAAATGTAGGCGGGTTAAAAAAAACTTCGAAATTAACTATGAAGCTCAAAAAAGACACGGATACATATCTTAATGGGTTCTCCTTGGTCGCAAACTACCATTTTGTTGTCATTTAACTCAATTTTGTAAGTTGTGTGGGGTTTTGATTTCTTTAGTTTTGAGATTTTTTATGAGGGTTTGTTGAGGGGTTTGTGAAGAAGGAGAGGGGTTTTATGTGTTTAGTATTGAAGAAAGAAAAATGAAATTTTAATGTTTATGTGACAATGATTTTTATTAAGGCTATTTATGCCATTACCTATTTATTTTATAATTTTTATTTTGTTGGTATTGAAGTGAGAAATATTTGATATTAGTTTTAGTCATCCTTTTTGATCCGGCTGGATTCGTGGTGGGTTGATTTAGAGAGTTGTATAGGCCTGAACTTGGACCGGAGCCCACAATAGACCTACAAGAAAGAAAAGAACCGGAGTTAGCACTCCGACGGCCAAGTCAGTAACTTCCTGAAGAAGATATTTAGGCTTTTTTATGTAATTGATGTGCAAGATTTCGTGTGTCGATACATGTATTTACTGCCCCTATTTATACTAAAGAAAGGGACGGACGTCAAATATTCTTCAATTTAATTTACCTGTCCAATCGCGATAATTAGGCATCCGGACCCCAAATTACCTTCAATGTAGTTTAATCCGTCATTTCACTGGCGGCTGCAGGTGCAAAAAGTAGGGGCTGAAACGACATTCCTCTGCGCCTTGTCAGTGGATTGGACGTGCATTAAATACCCCCATGTGCAGCTAGAATTATCTCCGGCAGGCCTGGCGAGGAGCTTGGCGGGAGGGTGAGTCAGCGAGAGGCTTCTCGCTCTCGCGGGTTACTCGCGACCCGCTGCTTGGTCCCTCCCGCCTAACGAGCACCAGTTTAATGGGCCTTCTTCTCTTAGTGGGCTTAATGGTGCCCTTTTGACCTTGCTTGGGCCTTTGGTCTTACTGGATCTGTCAAACGGTAACGGACTAGAGCCACCTTGATGAGCCTCTGCTCCTTATTGGGCCGTCTGGATGGCACTGGCCGGATCACTTTTCATAAATGCAAAGAAGTTTAATCTATTTTTTGAAGTTTTTTTTTTCAAATAATAATATTAACGATTCCAAAATTTATTACGATTTTGATTACGAATTAAAATTATGATTCTTTTTACCAAAAATTGAAATTTTGGGAAGGAGTTTTTGTACATGTACCCTAAATTATTTAAAAAAAAAAAAGGATTTTTCAATACAACCTCTCAATACTTTTACACGAGCATGTACCCAAATTATTGATTTTATTCTTAGAGTTAAAAATTTAAACATAAGACGATGCATTTAACAAATAAATTCATATAATATTTTAATGCAGATTCTCCTAAAATAATAAAATATTATTTTATTAAATACACTATCCAGCTGCAGGGGGAGGTTCGACTCCTAGGTCTCACTAATTTTGCAATTTAATCCTTTATATTTGGATCAGTTCTCAAACTTTTTATTCCCAAACGCTTGAGGCATATCCCAATATTTATACTAGTAATTGTACTCGTGTGTTGCACGGGGTTACATATTCCAATGAAATCATACAATAATAAACACACTCATTAGATTGGAGGAATAAATTATAAATTATTACGCTTTGAATGCATATTTGCTGATTCTAACACTTAAAGATCTCACTTTAACTACTAAAAAAATACATGTATTTATCAGTGCCTAAGATATACTGCAAGTTAACAATTCAAGATAGCATTAGATATGAGTTCAAATAATACAAAGAAATGTTATTGAAAGGAAAAATATGAAACAAAATCGTGGAAAACAATAAGGTTTGATATTGTGTAGCAATTCAAACTGAAAGACAATACATTTATTTTAATGATATTGCATCTTCAATTTCTGCAAAAAAATAAGAACATGTTATGCATAGTTGAATATAAGCCTTGCATAAGTAATGTGAAAAATTGTGAATAAACAATTACTTTAAATTTTGAAATACTTCTTT